TATCGTCAGATAGTTTAGTTGAGACCTTATCACCTGATTTTTCAGATGTGGGTGATGTAATCAATCCATCAGTTTCTAGGATCTTATTTTCTATACCATCTCGATTAACCGCAGTATTTAATTTTTCATGATCTGTTGCAGAAGATTTATTTTCTGTTGAAATAAGTAATGTGGCTTCAGTAGTTTTGTCCATGCCTTCATTTAATTTTGTGGTGTCTTTATCTATTCTATCGTCAGATAGTGTAATCGAGACCTTATCAGTTGAATTTTCAGATGTGGGTGATGTAATCAATCCATCAGTTTCTGGGATCTTATTTTCTATACCATCTCTATTAACCGCAGTACTTAATTTTTTATGATCTGTTGCAGAAGATTGATCTTCTGTTGAAATAAGTGGCTTCAGTAGTTTTGTCCATGCCTTCATTTAATTTTGTGGTGTCTCCATCTGGATTAACCGCAGTACTTAATTTTTCATGATGTGTTGCAGAAAATTGATCTTCTGTTGAAATAACTAATGGGGCGTCAGTAGTTTTGTCCATGCCTTCATTTAATTTTGTGGTGTCTTTATCTATTCTATCATCAGATAGTGTAATCGAGACCTTTTCAGGTGATTTTTCAGATGTGGGTGATGTAATCAATGTGGGTGATGTAATCAATCCATCAGTTTCTGGGATCTTATTTTCTATAGCATTTGGATTAACCGCAGTACTTAATTTTTCATGATCTGTTGCAGAAAATTGATCTTCTGTTGAAATAACTAATGGGGCGTCAGTAGTTTTGTCCATGCCTTCATTTAATTTTGTGGTGTCTTTATCTATTCTACCGTCAGATAGTTTAGTTGAGACCTTATCAGTTGATTTTGCAGATGTGGGTGATGTAATCAATCCAACAGTTTCTGGGATCTTGTTTTCTATACCATCTTGGATCTTATTTTCTATAGCATTTGGATTAACCGCAGTACTTAATTTTTCATGATCTGTTGCAGAAGATTTATTTTCTGTTGAAATAAGTAATGGGGCTTCAGTAGTTTTGTCCATGCCTTCATTTAATTTTGTGGTGTCTATTCTGCCATCAGATAGTTTAATTGAGACCTTTTCAGTTGATTTTTCAGATGTGGGTGATGTAATCAATCCATCAGTTTCTGAGATCTTATGTTCTATAGCATTTGGATTAACCGCAGTATTTAATTTTTCATGATCTGTTGCAGAAAATTGACCTTCTGTTGAAATAAGTAATGGGACTTCAGTAGTTTTGTCCATGCCTTCATTTAATTTTGTGGTGTCTTTATCTATTCTACCGTCAGATAGTTTAGTTGAGACCTTATCAGTTGATTTTTCAGATGTGGGTGATGTAATCAATCCATCAGTTTCTGGGATCTTATTTTCTATAGCATCTGGATTAACCGCAGTATTTAATTTTTCATGATCTGTTGCAGAAGATTCATCTTCTGTTGAAACAAGTAATGGGGCTTCAATAGCTTTGTCCATGCTCCCTTTTAATTTCTTGGTGTTAATATCAATATTTCCATCAGGTGGTGTAGCCGAGACCTTATCGGTTGATCTTTCAGATGTAGATGATTTATTCAATTCATCGGCTTCTTGGATCTTGTCTTTTGGACCATCTAAATTAACTGATGTACTTAATTTTTCATGGACTGTTGCAGAAGATTCTTTTTCTGTTGAAATAAATAATGCGGCTAGAGTACTTCTCTCCGTGTGTTCATTAACATTTGTGCTGTGGATATCTGTTGTACTTTGGGAGAGTGATTGATCATTCGATTTTTCAGGTGCGGCAGGTGTATTCATTTTGTTTGATTCTATGGGTTTATCTCTTGCATATGCTAGATTAGTTGTATTTAATTTTTCAGTGTCTGGTGTAAAAGATTGTTTTTCTGACAAATTTTGTGTAGTGGAATAATATAATGTATCTTCTTGACTTCTATCAGTGTTTTCCTGTACCATCCCACTTTTAATAGTTATTTTAGGTTGTGTGGTTCCAACTGCATTTGTTGATTTTGTGACTATATTTTTTTCTGTATCTGTGGCAGTTGTAAATTCTATAATAGTTGATGCTGTCTCTAGTAATGTACTTACAGCAACTGTAGTTAATTCAGGGAAACATTGTATAGTTAAATCATACCTATTTTTGGTTTTGTCATTACATAAGTAGTAGCAATTTCCACATTGCTGTGGAATATGTATCGATTTGTTATTTCTCTGATAATATTCTTCTACAGGGATAACTCCAGGCTCATTACAGTCAATTTTAGGAATGTCTTGACAGTCTGAATTCAACAGATTGGTTTCTTGATTTGTTTGTGGTTGGCATTTTTCTTTAGTTTCGTCATAGTACCATGCATCATCACATTCTGCTACAATTACTGTATTGTCGAGACATATTATGTAATTCTTATATAAATTGTCATTTGGATGTTTTCTAATGCCCATTTCATTAGAGGGGCATTCTTTATCTCTTATTACACAAGTAGCAAACCCATTTCCAAGTAAATTATAGCAGCCGCTCACCGTTTCATTATATATTTCGTTTTTGCTGCAATTGTATTGTTTAACTATTAGGATGGTTTCTGATGGTTCGCATTTACAGTATGATGACAAGTTAGGATTTTCAAAGACTTGACCTTCTTCTTCACATTTTGAAGGGCACCAGTCTTCAGACATCTAGATTATAATAGACATTTAAAGTTTGTAAGTAATTGAATTACTTTATTCCACAAATTCTTTAAAACATTTAATGCCAAAAAAAAGTAATAAAAACTTAAATAAAATAACTTAACTGCATATACCTTATATTCAGTAAACCCCTCCAAATAGCTCTCTAAATATTTATCCTTTACACCGTCCTGGTAGTCGTCATTACTATCCTAAAATTATCAGAAACATAAAATCCTACTTACTTTTTTATTAATAGAAAATAATCTTACTTCCTTTGAATTTGTTTCCTCCGTTGATTGTTCAATGCTTTTCTCTTCATATTCCTCTCCGTCAGCAGACATAGAATATATTTCTCCAAAGATGCTAGTAAAAATTAACATTACGAACACTATATTCATTATTTACGGTTCGTTGTGTGTGTTTCTTTCTTAATCACTTAGGTAAATGTCGCTTCAGAATATAGAAGTGTTAATATATAATAGTTCATTTATGAGCTTATTTAGACCAAAAACGTGTATGTGAAGTGTCTTTTTAATTTGTTATGGTCGATATTTCTAATTATCAGAATTCTTTTAATGTTTAAAAATATCGAATAGCTTATTTTAGAGTATCATGATATCATTAAGTTAAGTTATATGAAAATGTAATTGCTTTTATTTTGTATAACTATTTATAACTATTTTTATTTTGTATAATTATTTCAACTTACATAGATGGTACCTACTTTTCAACATTTTTTTGTATCCAGTTCGTCGTTTAAAATTATCATATATTTCATATTATCTCCATAAACATATTTGGTGATTAGTAAAATATATCTTCTGTGACAAGTTTAGAAATCTTGATTTCACACCCACACAAAAAAAAACGGCTTGGGGTCTAATTATGTATAGGTACTGTGTGTTTTTGGGGTCGCTGAATCCGAATCTGGTTTAACTCCAGCACATCAGGGTTTGGCCATAACCTCAAAAAACACTCCAAAATCCACTAAAACCGTTAAACCCGATAATCCCAAAAGATTGTAAACCTAAAACCCGGTAACCCATCGACTCTTCAACTAAATTCATAACCCTATAAACCCCTAACCCTATAACCTTATGACCCCATAACCCTATAACTCCGTAATCAAAATATTGAAACAATTTGAGACGTGTGAATACATAAATGAATATACATACAAATAAAAATAAATGAATGAATTTATAAATTAAATATATAAATAAATAAATAAATATAAATAAATTAATAAATATATGTATAAATCAATAAACGAATAAAATAATATAAAAACACAGCTTTAGTCAGTTGTAGAGGTGTTTCAAAATCTTATGAGCTTTGACCTTCATATGCGCAGAAACATAATTCCGACCACCGTCACCTAAATTATTCTACGTCCTAAAAACATTACATCTATTATTTACAGTCTATCTCGAGCTCTCGTAAACAAGCCTTTGATCCGATTACAAATATCATAATAAAATGCCCTATTCTTTATTATTTTAATCAATAAAAATATATATATCAAACGTTCGCCAGTTGAATTTATTGATGCCCGAGCGCCTTAGTTCATTTCTAGTTGTAATGAGGCACGTGATCTAATTCTGAGTCAATGTTTTCACAACGTGCTTATTAGAAGAATTATGCGGATACACCACGCCTTTTGCGCATTTCGCGGATCATGAGATTTTAAAACTACTCTATCTTTTGAGCTGTATCGCGTTCTCTTGTTTTCAAATGATATGTGCAACGAAGTACGCTTGCGTTTCCGACTTTCCTTCGATTCTCTCTTTAGCGTCCAACAAAAATCGGCCGTCATGTTAACGTCCCATCGTCCCTGATACCGAGTTTCCATGACCTTGATATCTTAGTGGATTCGTTCTCCCTGTTCTTCACTAAAGTCCCCAACGATCTCAGGAAATTTATCGAGGTGGGAATCAAGAAAATGGAGTTTCAAATTCATGTTACATTTAACTTCTGAGAGTCACAAAATATGTTTGCAACTAATTGCAAATTCAATGAATTTAGTTGACGAGTCGATGGGTTACCGGGTTTTAGGTTTACAATCGTTTGGGATTATCGGGTTTAACGGTTTTAGTGGATTTTGGAGTGTTTTTTGAGGTTGTGGCCAAACCCTGACGAGCTGGATTCGGATTCAGCAACTCCAAAAACATACAGTATAGATAGTCAGACCCCCAGCCCGAATTTTTTTTTGTGTGGCTGTGTAATTAATTGAAGTATAAATTGAAAATATGAAAACTACTTTGACTTTGTCTCATGAAATTAACAAAGAAAAACTAAGAAATCTTTAGTTATGATACTTTATTGCTTGATTTATATACATCGATAAAAAACTAATATCAAGATTTAATAAATGGAAATAAAAAAAGTACGACTTAACTTACACAATTTAAAATTATCATTATAAAGCACGTGCTGGTAGAGGTAGTTCTACTAATCATAATTTTAACTAAATCATAGCTGCAAATTTAAGAAATCAACGTCAAAATATTCTAGACTTCAGGGAAACTTAAACTCAAAAATATTAAAAGAATATTAAAATATGGTAAATATATAAATTCTATCTGAAGTGTAAATATAGTGTAATGTATTTAAATGAATTATATTGCCACAGTTATAGCAGTATGAACATATTGACAAGATGAACAATATTTATTCTTTGCTCTTGAGAATGTATCCATACGCATCCATAGATCACAATAATTTGAGATGAGCGGCAGAGCTTAGAGGCAGTGAAAATATTGCAATTTGTTAAACATAATACGAAGAGATTGATAGAGCTTAATCCTAAATTCTTTTTTAAGGAAAACTAGTTAAATAGTATAAGTTATGTTTTCTAGTTTAATACAATCTACAAATTTCAATACAAGGTATTCAGTATTCACCACTCTTGATTGTTTGAATTTTTATTAACAAATGAAGATAAAAAAAGTTAAATCTAGGTCCCGTGCCAGTGTTAAACAGAACTACGCCCCGAATTAGAACGTGCTGCAATTTTTGAGGCCAAAATAAATAAAATGGCACAGTAGACTTAAAAATCCATTAACATAATAACAAAGCATGGTTGAGAATACCGAACATCTGTTCCTACATGTCAAATTATTTAATTGTCTGGACCGGGTGACTTCCTTCTCTTTGGTGACACAGCTATACTCCTCAAACTCCTCGATCTTTCAAACAGCGATGGATCCGTATAGATGGGTTCACTGGGATCCTCGAACGGCCCTCCGGGTGCGGATACAGGACATTCCATATCATCCTTAGGGAAGCCGGGAAAGTTTCCTCCCCTCCCAAATCCAGCGAATTGCTTTTGAAGTCCCGCGCCAAAGATGGAAATGCTCGATAGTCCGCTGCTTCGTGTGTTGGGATATGAGGAAGATAAGTTGGATGACGCACGATCTGCCAAGAGATTTTTTCGCATCACCAACCAATATTTACGATACGCTAGACCAGCTAATAATGAACAGGTCAATAAGACGGCGATCAAGATCATCACGGCACTGACTAAGCCATGATATGCCCCAGGAGTTAAACAAACCGTGTCCGGCAAAAGTTCTGCCCGTCTCGCTTCCTGTTGGAGCTCTTCTCTAGAATCGAATACCTAAAAGAGGAAAATGTCATATTCAAATCATTACAAGCAAAAGTTTAACCTAAATAAATATTTCTTAGAATTACTAACCTCAATCATTTCCCTTACATACTCTGGAGGTTCTTTTTCTTCAGAGTTCTCCCCGCTTGAACTTTCAGCAGATACTTTATCTCCCGATTCTTCTTCCCTGTTTTTGATTTTGATGGTGGTAGAGATTTTTTTGCTCTTTGGGAATGAGACGTTTGTTTCGGTTGATTCGTCTTGTGGTTCGCTTAAATCATTTGTTTGTTCGTCAGAAGAATCCATTATAGTATTGTTCACGTCTAATGCTAACGTCGAGTTAACATCACGTTTGCGCCTTCCAAATGATGGTTCTGATCTCCCGGAGCCAGATGGGCAATAGGCTGGCTGGCAACCCTCTCTGCAACTTCGCACTGTGGCCTCGAATACGAGGAAGTTGGATTCCGGGATCTTAAAGGCATTGAACCTAGCTTCTAAACTGTCCCCGTTTCTTCCTTTGTCCAGTTCCGGAAATACGTAGCTGTCTACAGGACATCTAAAAATATCACATATATTTTTATTCGTTACTTAATGTAGGATGTTTAAAACCTTACCCAAATCTATCAATGAGCTGCACCGATCTGCCCGAATATGGATCTCTTGCTATCACGTTTGTAGCGAATATATCGCTGACGTAATTATATCCTTCTTGAGCTTCCAACCTGAACGTTAGCGGATCTCCTACAGCGATGGTGGTAGTTGGTCTTCCATGGTATAAAATCATCAGCCGTACCTTCGAGCTTAGCGTATTTTCAGCAGGCAGATATTCTATCGGTATGGGACTTCCGGAACTAGCCGATAAACTTAATTAGGAATAGTAAATAAAAGTTAAATTATTTCCTTACCCAGCTCCAATGAAGCCTGAGGATACAATTGCTTCCCCTGGTCCCCTGAACAAACATGTTAGGTTGAATCGTTTGTCTTGAACTGTTTGTACAAAATCAGTGAATTGTACCACTACGATGTTGGTCATGGTATCGCCGTATCGTTGCGTACCGCATTCTGGATATCCTTGTGGCCCACTAATACGCAACACGTTCGCAGTTCCTCCATTGCCACGGAAGAAACATCTGTCGTAAAAACCGTAGGTGTATATCCTTCCATAGAAGCCTTCTGGTGTCCTCAAGGTAAATTCCATGCCATCTTCATTACAAACTTGAGATACTGGGGAGGTATAAGTAACACAATTCAGCAATATTATTATCTTTATTTACAAATTACGTGTACAACAATTTGAATGAAAAATAACAACATTTACCGTCTAAACAGTCTCCGTCAATACCCTGTCGACCAAGGGAGCGCTCATAGAAATCATAGTTGCCCGCGTTGTCGAAATACTGTGGATTATTTATTTCCATGTCCCTTGAATCTCTGTCACTCAATTCGCAATTTTCGCGGTCGCTATCGTAGCCTGGTGGCGAATCCCTTAAAATTTAAAATTAATTACGTTACAGTGTTACACAAATTGTTTTACTCACTTGTAGTTAAATGATCTGCAAATGAAGTCGGTTTCTTCCACGCATTCTTTCTCACAATCTCTTAATGATGGCGCGTAAATGACTCGCTTAATAAACTCTTTCCGCGCTCGTAGACGAGCTCCGGCATGTTTAAAATTGTCATCTTCTTCACATCTCGAACTGAATGGTCTATTCGGTCCTATCCCACCAAAGCTATCATATATAGGTCCGTCGGGTCCTGGTGATATCGGCCTTCTTACTCCAGTGGGTCGCTCATAAGGGGGTCTGTTATCTACAGGACGTCCACTAGGCCTTCTATCAGGTCTTAAAAACCAACGGCTTCCGCCGTCGCGATCATCACCATAGTAGTCAAAACGGTTGCTGTTATATCGATTTCCGTATCTATCTCCGTACCTATCTCCGTATTTTCCACCATTTCTATCGTCGTATTTTCCACCATATCTGTCGTCGTATTTTCCACCATATCTGTCGTCGTATCTTCCACCGTATCTGTCACCGTATCGACTGCCATATCGACTACCATATCTGTTAACGCCTGTTCCTCCGTAACGACTGCCGAAGTCATCGTTTTCGCCATATCGTCCCCCATTTCCGCCATATCTTGATCCCCCATATCTGTCAGCATATCTGTCCGTATTATATCTGTCTCTGTCTCTTTCACCATATCTACCACCATAACGGTCGTCGTATCTATCACCATATCTGTCCTCGTATGTATCTCCATATCTGCTTCCATATCTGTCACCGTACCTACTCCCATAACCTCCACTCGATGACGGAGGATAAGAAGGGTATCGGTCATCAGGATATCTACTGGGGTATCTGCTGCCAGGATATTCAGGGCCAATAGGATATCGGCTGCTTCCTCTGTCAGGATATCTGCTGCTTCCGCTATCAGGATATCTGCTGCTTCCGCTATCAGGATATCTGCTGCTTCCGCTATCAGGATATCTATTGCTTCCGCTATCAGGATATCTGTTGCTTCCGATGTCAGGATAAGTGCTGCTTCCACTGTCAGGATATCTACTGCTTCCTCTGTCAGGATATCTGCTGCTTCCTCTGTCAGGATATCTGCTACTTCCTCTGTCGGGATACCTATCTGAAGGTCTGCTGGGGTATCTGTCGTCGGGATATTTATCGTCATATTCTGGATATCGATCAGAAGGTGGTCTCCCTCCACTGTCGTAACCTCCACTGCTAGGGGGATAGTACGGTGGATTCTTCGGTGGATACCTCTCGCCAGTAATGCCGCCACTTCCTGGTGGATATCGGCTTCCTCCACTTCCTGGTCTAAAACGATCTCCAGGGGGGTATACGCCTCCTTCACTCGGCCGTTGTCCAGGACCTTCACCCTCGCCTCCAACTGGAAAAATATTGTTTTGTAAGAATTGTTTGTATATTGTATAAGAATACAGCACTTACGCATTAAATTTTCGTAATAGTCGTAGTCCGCGTCGTATATAATCCTCATGCCATCGCGTTGATTGTATCTCGTTAATCGGCAGGTCCGGTATCGTTCGCTGTATTCTGCAGATCGACATTGGAAGCTGGGTTGCCTCAAACATTCATCCAGACACTCGCTGAGAGATCTTCCTGAGATCTCGGAATGGTGCTCGCCTCCAAGACGACTATTCCTGTACCTTTGAAAAGCGGTGTCGGGTTTCTTACCAGTAAATAAATGGGACGTTACGGAATTATCGGGATACTCGGATCCACGAGCTGAAAGAGAAGGTACTATGATATCATAGTTAGTTCAATTGACAAGTGAACCTCTAGATTTATTTCGCATACGTTGAAGATATATATTTTTTTTGCTACTTACGACTGTCTAGGCAAGCGAAGTCATAGAAATGATGTGTCGGACTGCTTGCGACTCCTATGTCGTCTTTTTGTGACACAGAATCTTCTTCGGATAGAGTACACTGTTTCGTCATTTCGTCGTATTCGATGGACCTGCAAAAGTATTTCTCTGCGCGAACGCACATAGCTTGGCAGTCTTCTAGAGTCAGATTTGTGAACATGTCCACCTCGAATGGTCCTCCTAGTCTTTTGTTTTCTTCCTTGATGAAAACGGCTAGACCGTCGCATCTTCTATCAGCTGGAATAAAATTACATTTTGTTTCGTGGCAGTACTACTGGTAGACGCATACGTATCTTTTTCATTAAATGTTATTAAGTTACTCACCATTTAAGCAGGTGTTTTCTAGATAGTCAGATTCAGGATCGTCGACCAGCAATTCCGGATGGGTCCTCCTCGTAAATCTACTGAGTGTGCAAGTTCTCATGGCGGCATCGTATGTGGCGGATCGACAAACGAAGCTGAATTCGTTCAGGCATTTGTCTTCACACTCACTTCTATTCGAAGCTGTCATTTCTTTGATGTCTGGTGTCGGTAGCTTCAATTTTTTCCTTGGATGCCTTTCGAATATGTATCTTCTGTTCGGACATTCCCTTTCGGGTCGATTTGCTAAGAAAAAAGAAGAAAATAAATTTCTAAGGTTATAGTGTTATAAACCCAAGACAATTAATTAATTCAAAACATCATTTTCCAACAGCGTAATGACTCCCTTAACGGTTTGCATATATCCGCTCTTTATTTAACATAAAAATTGACTTCCAAACAGTTTCAAGGTTTCGAAATCATATTCTGGTTGAATGCTCTGCAACGAGGTTGAAGAGTCGCGCTAATAATGAAATATTTGGACGTTCGAAATACATTTACATATTTTAAATGTGCCGGAAGCAGCGCGTTCAGGTGATATTGGCAAACAGTAATTTCTTTCTAAAATTTCAACGTGTGTATAAAAATCATCGAAGCATAAAGACCCATCAATACTGTTATTGCAACAATTTTGTATTTTATTAAACTATTAGGTACTAAAGGTTAATCCAATAATTTTATCGAAATTGAACTTTGTTCTAAGAAATATTTAATAAATATGGCAGTTGTGCCTGGTAATCCATGTCCAATTTTTAACAGTTACGGTTCATTGAAGTTAAAAAAATGTTTACCGAAAATTTAAATGTTATGCTCTTATACTATTAGAAGGTACCCAGAAACGCACCTATCGATCTCAATACATATTTTTCAGACACGTGCTATCATACTGAAACTATTATTTTCAGATAGTCTGAAGATCTTTATTTAAAGAAAGTACCAACCATTTATTTCGATAAAATAAACAGTTTTCGAAGTAAACCAGCTTTTGAAACAGTCAGCAACAACTACATAGTTTAGTTTATTTAACTTTGCCAAATCCAAAAACCTTTATGAGTTGCTTATAGCTTAAGAGAAACAAATTAATGATTAAAAATAAATATTTATACAGAGTGTTTCAAAAAGACCTCCCGTAAATTCAGGGGGTGATAGTACGACAATATGTCTATCTCCTATTGTTTTTTAACATTCCAACTCCAATTTCTAATGTACAATTTTATTTTCTAAAAATAATGTACTCTTGTTAGAACTTCCTAATGTGGACGGTTTTCGAGAAAAAAGGCTTTTAATTGAACTCTTACAATATTACGGTAAAGAAAATAAGTGACTTTTCTCAAAGTAGGCTTATCTCAAAACTTATAGATGGATGTCTCATAAACAACGCATACATTCTCAGTAATATTTTAAACTCTAATTAACTTTATGCCAAACTTTTAGTGATTACAGTGACTGTAGTTAGTAATAACTAATTACAGTCACTAAAATTTTGTTATAAAGTTAATTAGAATTTAAAATATTACTGACAATGTATGCGTTGTTTATGAGACATTCATCAATAAGTTTTGACATGAGCCTATTTTGAAAGAAGTTACTTATTTTCTACACCGTAATATTGTAAGAGTTCAATGAAAAGCCTTTTTTCTCGAAAATCGTCCACATTAGGAAGTTCTAACAAGAGTACATTATTTTTAGAAAATAAAAGTGTACATTAGAAATTGGAGCCCGAATGCCTCCTAACCTAACCTCAAAAAAATTAGAACTTAAAATATAATACGAATGTAGCATAACTAGCGCCCTCTATAAAATATACAAAAATAATTAGACCAGCGTATTTGGCGTCCTTAAAAACCCCAGAATACCAAATTTCATAAAAATATTTCGCACCGTTTGAAAATTTTCGTAAAAATTCTATTTAAAAAATTTTATTTTGTCGCTCTGTATCTCGAAAACAAGAGGAGATAGACATATAGTTCATAAGACAAAAAATTCTTATTTTTTGTCGTACTATCACCCCCTGAATTTACGGGAGGTCTTTCTGAAACACCCTGTATAATAATAAAAAACGAAAAAAGATACTTTAACAAATGTTCCCCATTTTTTTATTCTACGAATATCTTCCTGGTACGCATGAAATGACGTCCCAAGATTATTACAAATCTAATTACATTCTATGTTATTCTCATCAAAAGTTTTTATATCGAATAAGTTTCTTTGGATGGCGCACGGGAAAGGGGATTTAAGTCGGGCAACCTAAATGTCCATAAAAAGGTCCTGGAGCTATGGTTTCAAAAATCGATTTATCTCTAAAACCGTTTATTTTATCGAAAAATAACTAAAGAGTACCATTTTTGAATGAAAATAATATCTAAAAATAATATTTCCAGTTCGATAGTAAGACATATGTCCAAAATTAAAAAAAAAAAAACGTGATGGCGTCACTCCATTTTTGGACAACTTGTAATAGTGAAAGGCCGGTTTTAACATCAATGCATGGACTTATCTATGCCTCTATCAATAACTACAAGGTGATTTTAAAGTTAGGACCCATTGCGTAAATATCTAGGTACCCATTTAAGGTCCAATATTCATTAGGAGGAACATTAGGGTAGTAGTGTTATTTTGACCACCCTTTATTCTCTCAACAGACTGATAGATTCTTACCGAATACTGTACGTATTCCTCTATTTTTTAAATATTTGCTATGACTCATCTTTTATTAAATATCTTCACTTACATGTGATGCAAACTTCTGTAAAATGAACGCTATTCGGAACGAGCATGAGACTTCCAATCCCTTCAGGTCTAGCTTGTTCGGCAGTTAGGTAGCAGGTGCTCTCTTCGTATTCCGGCCCTCCATTGAAAGTGGCTATCCGACTTCCCGGTTGAAAGTCAAACGAGGAGCAAGCCCTGACTATGTTGTTCGTAGACCTGTCGCGTAGACAGAGATCTTGGCATTTCTCCAGCACCATGAAGGGTGGCATTGATTCTCGCACGATGTCGTCGTCGAAGCCTTGCAGTTGGATATTGGGTAGTCTTTCGTACATAACCTTTCCATTCATTGATCCAGAGCCACAAGATGTTTGGGCTGAAATCACATTATTTTTTTGATTAATACCTGAAATAAGCAATCTTTCAATTTGTATAACAATGGTTTCAAAGTCGACAGGAGTTGAAGCAAGAAGTATTCCAATTTAATATAAAGTTATTTTTCAGTTCATCTTCAAATTGTATTAGTTTGCCAAACATTTCTTGAATCGGTTAACACTTGGATGAAGGTTCTTCTTCTGACCAGCATTCTGTTTATATCTTCTATCCTTAAGTGGATGCAGTAATGAAATGGCCTTGGAACTGACTCTATATTTATTTTCATTTTTCATTGTGGTCTATATAATCTTTGATCGTTTTTGGAACGTAAAATTTGTGAAATGTTCCTTCAACTATATCTAACTAATTTTGAAAAGAACGCCAATAAGTTAAGTCAATAGTCGTTCCTTTTCGATGGTTACAAAATTAGTTTGTTGTTTCCCTAATGTTTTACTAAGTTGTTAACGATGATACAACCTAAAGACCTTAGTTGAACCGTACAACCTTGCACATGGAAAAAACGTTTTCATGAAAATTCACACAAATGTTTTTAAAATCTTGACGGGAACAAATTATATTAAAATTATATTTACATTAGTGAAAATTATTACAAACTGTAGATTTTCTCAAATTTCCAAACAATATTGTATCAAAGTTTGATACAATTTGATCATGTCCCTTTTATGACTTTTCTGTTTGCAGGTGCAAAGGCTTTATAAATATTTACCCGTCAATTTGTTATATCATCAAATAATCATATGTTTCCTGTTTCATATTTTCCGATAAATCCAAAACCTCACTGATTAGTCCCAGGAAATCATATATCTTGAGGTATGTTCTGTCGCTTCCATTTCTTAATGATATAAGACACTCACTGCACTTACTATTTCAACATGGTCACCAAAAAATGATTAAATCTCCAAGCACGAAATTGGTAATAAATGTTTCTTACCTTTAGTCATCATCTTCAGTACCGTGAGGACAGTGATAGCTTGCACCATGCTGGGAACGTATGGATACCTTTTCATTTTGGTCCTTTGAGATTTCGCTTCTTACTAGCTGGACATACTTTTCCCTCTGCAGGAAAATAACAAATGAGTGCATATGTGCACGCATCATTGGGTGACTATGAATTTTTTACGGGGGATCAATCAGTACCGAATCGATGTGCATACAATGCCCACCGCGAACTGTAAATTCGATCGGACAAAGCGCCGAATTATTTTTGTCTTTGTTTCCGGCTTCCCACGAAGAAAACTGGGTCAGGTCGCAAACTACGAGATTTGTTGAGTTAGATGATACTGATAATTCGGTAGTTCAAATGCCATAGAAATGCCGAATTCGAATTGTATTTTTCTACGTTCATTGTATGCATTTTATTTATTTAAAAAAAAATAGATCCATTGACGGAATTTAACCTGCAGCTTCCTTCATTGTATTATGAGGTTGCCAAAATTAATGGTAGTTAATTATACAATTTTCCCGTGAAGTTTAACCAGTATAGATGGACAATCAAGGCTATTGTGAACAATTTTATGAAAAAGCACTAAGTTGGGACATAACAAATGAGTAAAGAAAGTTCCACTGAGGATAGCCCACGAGTGGATAAACACCATAGAATTTCGGAAATCTTCGTTGAATATTTTCCGTATATTTAGGGGAATGTCATAATGGAATACCACACAAGTGGCGCATATTCTAGTTTGCTTCTAACAAAGATAAAATGAAGAATTTTCTAAGTGTTTGTATTAATAAAATCTCGGCTACTTCGTACAAGGAACCAAATATTCTAAGCGCTTCACTGGCAATAATTTGGATATACGAGCAAAAACTTAGTTTGGTGGTCGAAGAAATCACAACAAAAATAACAGAAGGTGGCTGATCCTACAGTTTTCTAAGATTTTAACATAAGTTATGCAATTTATAAATGTAAACATTAATAGTCCCAGAACGGAACCCTGAAGTACACCGGAAGGGAATAGAAATTCAACATAATTAAATCCATTGTAGACAACGTGATGATTTCTACTGGTTAGATATGATTTATGTAATCTACCTGCTATTGAGTCTATCTGGATTGATTGAGTCTACTACTGCTTTGACAATTCTACTTGATCAAGTAGTCATAGAGTAAAATTTCAGCAAGCTGGGTTCCAAAATATATTATATATCTAACTAATTATTACTGATTCCGACTTAAGCAGCAAATTTCTCACTATTAGTTGGAATCTTTTTAAATTTTATGGTAGATCTGACTTGTCTTAATTTTTGCTCCATCGCCATACGCAATAGCTGCAGCCACTGATCGAGATTTCGATATTCCGCCCTGTATCTAAGCAAAGATTCGACTGTTGTATGTATGTATCTACTCATACATGTGATTTTCCACGCGAGATTGACAAACATGGAGGGAAAACAAAGGGACCGGATGTCAGCATCCTGACACAACGAATATGCTCACACCGTACGGTCTATCTGCCCATCGGTTACGGTTGATCCATGCGGAACTTCCAATGACACTTTCCGTGATATGTAATGCGACTGTGCTTTTTCACATAAAAAAATAAATGCAGTGTACAGGGTGTTGCCTAAGTGCGTTGATCTTTAGCCAGTTTGTGGAGAAGTTAAAAAAATTGCAAAAACGCGTAATTTTCGTCGTTTGTTCGTCGTTTTTTTTTTTCGTTAACTTCAACAATAACAATCAATTTTTTTTTTAAGTATACAGGGTGTTTCAGAAAGACCTTCCGTAAATTCTGGGGGTGATAGTACGACAAAAATAAGAATTTTTTTGTCTTATGAATTATATGTCTATCTCCTCTTGTTTTCGAGAGACATAGCGACAAAATAAAATTTTTTTACGAAAATTTCCAAACGGTGCGAAATATTTTTATGAAATTTGGTATTCCGTGGTTTTTAAGGACTTTTTAAAGATTTGTTTGAGGTTAGGTTTTTTAGCATTCGGGCTCCAATTTCTAATGTACCATTTTATTTTCTAAAAATAATTTACTCTTGTTAGAACTTCCTAATGCGGACGGTTTTCGAGAAAAAAAGCTTTTAATTGAACTCTTACAATATTACGGTGTAGAAAATAAGTGACTTTTCTCAAAGTAGGCTTATGTCAAAACTTATTGATGGATGTCTCATAAACAACGCATACATTCTCAGTAATATTTTAAACTCTAATTAACTTTATATCAAAATTTTAGTAACTGTAATTAGTCATTACTAACTACAGTCACTAACGTAATGTATGCGTTGTTTATGAGACATCCATCAATAAGTTTTGACATAAGCCTACTTTGAGAAAAGTCACTTATTTTCTTCAGCGTATTTGGCGTCCTTAAAAACTCCGGAATACCAAATTTCATAAAAATATTTGGCACCGTTTGGAAATGTTCGTAAAAATTCTATTTAAAAAAATTTATTTTGTCGCTCTGTATTTCGAAAACAACAGGAGATAGACATATAGTTCATAAGACAAATTTTTTTATTTTTTATCGTACTATCACCCCCTGAATTTACAGAAGGTCTTTCTGAAACACCCTGTATACAGAAAGTATCTTGTCTATTTTTTCAGCCTCAGTTTCTTAGTAAATTTCATTTGTTTAATTTATTAGTCATTTTTGTAAACAATCAGTTTTAATAAGTTAAAGATGCTTTGTTCTTTATGTTTTTGTAGGAACATATCAATTTAACTGTTATAGAAATTGTAAGGAATAAATAATTCAGAAACTAGGTATTTAGTCTTTTATTTATTTATTTATTATCAATTTTTTTCTTAAAATTTATTTAAAATACTACTCTTAAGAACATTAACTTACTTACTACACCCTTTGGCACTTCAGTAGAAACTGAAATACTAAGAAGATATTTGAATGAAGATAACTTTTAAGAGACAAATTTCAAGAAAAATTAGTAATTATATAATTTTTAAATTGTTGTCTTTTTTACGCAGGATTTTGTCACGATATCCATAGTGTTGTTTAAAAGAAAATTTTGTCATCTAAATATTATAACTCGCTGCATCATTTTTCGATATATCCTATGACAAATATTTCTACGTAAATAATTCGTTCCTACATGCGAGACCTTGTGTTTAAAAACCATATCGTTGAACATGCCAAATAGGTGTTCTGATAATCTAACATAATTCAGCATAGAACACCAACAAAGGGGACGAAATACTGATTACACGTCTGTTATATATCTCTATTGCCGGAAATAATTCTAATTTTTTTTGTTTTTTACAATTTCTCTTTAACAATATAAATACATTTTCTATGTGGTAAATTCATTGGTATAGGGTTTTTCCTCCCGGTGTTAGGTATTTCACAAAAGTTCTCATTTTTTTAAGTTTTAGTGTGAAATCTGAAACAATTCTCCTCGTATTTCGCTATTGTTGCAAAAAATTGCTAGCCGTCAACTTCTTCACTTTTTCATTTAGACATCTCATTCAAGAAGCAAGTGTCAAAATTAAGTTTAAAAAAGGTTTTTATTAATGGATAGATTTTTTAAAGTAAAATTACATGAAAATTGCCCCGACATGAAATACAGGTCTGTGCCAACTGAATATATGAGTTTTAATTTTAATAAAGATCTCCTTTACATTTTATTCGACACTCTCCATCTTAGAAAATAGACAGTGAAGTAAAAAATAGAGTAAGGAATTTTTTTACTTTTACTCAAATATGGTTAAATGCTTTATCTCCTTTTTCTTAACACCTTCCTTTAATTGTTTATTATTTTTTGGAGCTATTATAGAATTACTTATTGATTCTTAAGTGATTTTTTCTTGTTGGCAATATTACTAATAATCTGGTCTACACATTGTGAAGTTAAATTCTTATTTATCTTCAAGATAAAATTTGAATTACGAGATGGTACAGATATGTATTGTTTATGTACTTTTCTAGATCTTTCGTGGAAAGTGGAAAGAAAAAGTGGCAAAACATCTTTTTAAATCCATGTTGACAATGTATCCTTTTAAATCTGCTATTTTTATCGGTAATTCTTGAGTCAAGTTGTTGATGACTTTTTCTCCGTTTTAAAAATAAAATTTACCTTGAAATATAAACAAACTTTTTAACACAGTTGTCGTGTGCTTCACTTTAATAAGTTCTGAAATTTCGCAAAACAATATGATTTTAAAAGAAAACTGAAAGACCAATTATTTCATTAAAATACGAAATGTATGTGTGAATGTAGATTCTTTTTGTCCACAAATATTAAAAGAGTAATAAACATCATATGATATTTGTAGCTATGGAAATTTAAATTGTTAAAAATAATTAAAAATGGAAATTCTCAGTTGTGAAAACGAAAACAAATTGATTTTCCAAAGATTAGCATTTATTTGTCAGCTTTTTTCAGAGCGGTATTAGGCAAAACAGTTTTCTTAAAAATAACTTTTGACCGATGCTTTTGGCATTAATTTTTAAATTTTTTACACTGGTGAAACCCCCCCCCAAAAAAAAATTAAGAAAAACTAAAAACTATGCCATAAATAAGTAACTTTAGGCAATATGTTGCATTAAATAACATTTTTCTAAAGAGATACGTAGAAAACTTAATGTCATTACTATATTAAATACGTTATTAATAGACTAGGCGGTATCTGTTTTGGTTTGGGTGAATCGTATATCCACGGAGATTTTTGGCTTTTTGGATTTCAAATATCACTAGAAATGAAAATTTTGGGCTTAACCTTTGGCGGCACAATATGTTAAAAAAATTCTAAAAATGTCATATTTTTCTTCCTATTTAATTATGTATCTTTTCAAGAGTTGATTTTAGGCGAAAATGGAAGAGGAAAAAAATGTTTGTAATTAAATTTTTTACAAAACATGACTAGTTACAAATCGAATGAATCATGATTATTATGGTAAAAATCGAAAAAATCACAAAAATGGGGTTAAAAAACAATACTTTTTAGGGAATTTTTTTGGTGTATTTAAATTGGGTGTAGGACCTTTATACTTGGCTCAAGAAAACTTCATGTTATGTAGAATCATCACACCAAATTTCATCAAAATCGGTTCGATAGATTTTGCATAATAATTTTGCAATCCAGATTTTGA